TTCAATCGGACAAGAGTATAGTATGCGATAACTTTCTTTTTAACAAACCCGATAGATCTATTCGCGATAATCTGTTTCATAATGGGAATCCTGAAAACGCTAATACAGGACCAACCATAATAACTGAAGACAAAGAAAGTACGACTGGACAAAAATAATGGTTAGTTTAGTAAATATTGTTTATTGGTATAAAACAGAATACCAGCTCAATAGACCCATTACGTAGCACTTAGGGTACACGCGAATTCTACATAATTTCAGTTAGGAATAATGCTAACAATGAATTTTTCACAACGATCAAACAAGTAATCAGTGTTTTAACAGTTCTGTTCTTTTCTCTCAATAGGTCAATTCATCCTCCTTTAGTAATTTATTTTTCTTATCTAAACCATTTCGTACATTTCACATTTGTTTTAAGTGTAGTGCAACTGTTAGCTTTTTAAAACTTAATTAATTCGAAACTAATAAATCAGATGATATCATATAATGAGACTTATTGATTCGAAATCACATGAATGGTACTGTAATGATAATAAATCTTTTCTCTAACCACGAGTGATATTAACTACTTTGCAGGTTTCTTGATACACGAATTCTCATAGTAATATGATGTGTATTGTCCCAGGGAAGAAAAATGGAAATATTTGGACGTTTCCTGCTTTTCATTTACCCATTAGCAAAACGCTGCAATTACCTCGAGGTTCCTCGCCAGAACGCTAACTCAAACCATCAATAATGTTACAGTGGAATCTTGAGAAACTAAGATTGTTGTTATAATGTACATCGACTGTTGTCATTACGATACACTAGTCAAGTAGTTAAATTATTTGGTTAATTGAGGAAAACTGCTACGAGTAGTCTCAGCACGTGAACTCAAGCTATGTTATAATCTTTCACCGTTTTCGCTATATTCATGTCATTTAGACCCAATAAATCTATATCACTGGCAAAAGTAGTCTGTTAATTTAGGTGGTAAAGCTGTGAACTCTAGTACGCAGATGTGATCACAATAAAAAGTACGCGTGCCCGGTAGGTCATCTTACTGTGCAAGGTTAGCTAGTATATTATTTTAACGCAACTAACACTGTTCCACAAAGTGATTGACAAATCGATGCATACGATCCTTACAGCTCGCCTAGTTACTATAATTGACTATGACTACTTTGGATCGGAGGGCACGAAAGCGTAGCGTTCTTACAAACTTCTACATATACCTTTTAATTTCTTGCCAGTGATGAGATTAGCATTATCTCTTTTAATAACGCTGGTCCGAAGCATAGCAACTTTGAACAGTATGTATTCATTTGAAGCCCTAATTTATCCGTAGCATATTTTACAACATATGTGAATACAGATATTAGTAAAGTTAATTCTTAATCCACTATCACTAATGATGCTGTCTAAGGTGTTATTTGAGTTAATTTCGACCGTCAACGTTGTTGAGAGCAGTAATCTTTACGTCTGAAATACATACCTCCCGCCAAACTTAGAGATGTTTATCGCCGCTAGAACAAAAAAGCACCTTAAGTACACAAACTCCGTCAATAAAGCATTGGTAATCTCTTAGCCACTGGTAAGTGATGAATAGAAGAGGGAAACGTATAATTTTTATACAAATGTTGAACAAAACCAAAAGGTGATTGTTTGGTGAAAGATACTCGTTAGCAAGTTCTTAATGCTGTAGAACTCACGTACCCCTCTAGCTAGCAATAGCTTTTTGTAATTTACAATTTAAACAAGATACATCGCGACCCACATCACAGAGATTTATGTACCTTATAAACGGTTAAATATTAATTACGCATGATAACACAACACGGAACTATAGCGTCAAAAAAGTAACTACTGTGTTAATGGTAGTTTTCTTCTCGAAATAGACCAAGCGATCTGACAAAATATAATCATAGGAAACGAACTACACCTATAGTACAGACAAGTGGACAATTACTATATTAAAATACATCGTACTAAATATTCAATTGATTTACTCCGTGACTCATTTGGGACCTAAATTTAATTTTCTGGTGCCCATATCAAAATGAAATCAACGGAATGAGATCTTAATGAATCACTAAAACAGCAACAAAATCTCAATACGGCAGCAACCGATCGATCTAGGAAGTTGTTAAAATAGGCACAAACTAATTACAACATACTGATCTAACGGACTGTCAACACTTTTGGATCACATACCTTAATATATTTACACTAAACTAAACACTTTAAATCCTAAGAAATCTTATTTTTGGAACCGATGGAATATTAGACGCGATTAACTATCCCATATCGCTATGATGAACAAGTTTAAGTTTTCAAAAATGAGATGAAGTGGAAATCCTTATGCTAACAGATTACCTTAACACCACATCATTAAAAAGGTTAGTAGAAACATGAGATTTGTAGTTTTAACGAAGAAGTCTAAGTAATGCAATGCATTGTATTGACGTTATACAGTACAATACATAAAAATGAATAGATCGACGATTGGTTATTAAGTATATTCATTGCACAAAAATAGTGCCTTTGAGTACGCATAAGAAATATTAGACAATTTCGGTTTAAAAAGCTTAATTTATTATTTAAGAAAAAAACACTTTGACTTTCAGCGAACAATATTCGAAGACAGAAGCACGAGTACCTCAAAAGCGAGTAAATCGAAATCCCTGTTCACATTAAATTACATGACTAGATTTCATCGAGGTCCCCTCAAGTCATTTACAAAGTAATGCATAGCGATTTGAACCTTTATGTGATTATTTCCTGATATAAAGCAACTTAGTCGTTAAATCATTGTTACCTTCATGATAAATTCAATAAGTGGATATCTTTCAATTTTCTTATACAGAAATTACTCTGGTTAAAATAAACTTTTGACACTTTGCGTATATATTAAAAAACAAACGGAAAAACTGTTACAACTGGCAATGATGTAAAACAAGGTCCACGAAGCAAAGTGAACATGCAATACCAAACAACCATGCTAAAACTGACTAGAAATAGTCATGTTACTAAATATTGGACAGAAACTGTCCACAGTAGAAATTTATGGAACAAACAAATAAAACCCTATGTTAACAATCAAAAACTCATCAACAGTTACTGATTACTCTAAAATCGTAAACCAAATTTAGATCGAGATGTGATTTTATGTAATACTTATCAATTGGGACACGTGATCCTACATGTGAAGCTGTGGTAGTGGTGACCGCTTGAAACAGAATTAAAGCATTGTAACTACCAGTTATATTTTAAAGAGGAACATATAAACCTGATTCAATGAAAATAATTCGCATGAATCGCGCTAAGTAGACATAGCCCCATTTAACAACACAATAGCTTCGAATAACATCTATTCAACTGACTGTTTAGCGATTATTACCTACTGAATTAATGGGTTTTCAGCAAAGCATTAACGTGACAACATTTTTAGCCTGATAATGAGACCTACCTGATGAGATGTAACAATTGAAATGAACTATTTGGAAAAGCTTTGACAAAATTATTTGTTAACTGCTTTAAGTTTCATTCACTAATAAAATTACTACTTAGCTCCCAGGAATGGATAAACCAATTTAAAAAACCTTTTAATGGTGAAACAAATATTAGGATTTTAGAGAAGAAAGATATAAGTGAGCAAACTGATTTCATTGATGGACTTATTTCAGGAAGGATTATAGTGCACATTTCAACAGTTAAAATGTTATTCATTCTTTTTTCATTAATGCAATAATCAGACATTATATTAAGAGGAAAATAGTACAGTTTCTTTTAGGGGATAGAAAAACAAAGAAATATGCATATACACCAATAACGTCATGGCACAGTAACAAACTCAATCATTGGAATGCAAAGAGCAAGGGAAAGTAAAATTTAAGAGGAAAAAAGGAAAACCATTCTCACCACAAACATCTGATGAGTAAAATAACTAAAGATGTTTAAAAGAATAAATCGTAATAATGTAAGACGTAAAGAATGAACGTGAACAATTACCTCGTGAGATGGTAAAGCGAGGAAACGTATGTGTGTGGAGGGGTAAAGTTAATCAAGGAAACGTGTGAAAATGACAAGATGACATGCGTATACATATGTATATATTTATATATATAAATCAGGCTTTCCTACAAGTCACTGTCAACAAGTGTCTTAACGTGTACGAAGTTTTTTGGCGACGGTAATTCACTTCTTCTAGTGGAGATACCAGGAATGATAATGTTTTGTATAAACTAGTTCGGGTTACTTTGTCGTCATCATTGTAACAAATTCTGAAAATAGGAATAGGCAATTATAACAGAGAATATCCCCAAAGTTGACATCTACCACAAAACTACCACGTACTACATTTTTCCCAAACAAAATAGGTAAACCAATCAACGAATTATACTCGGAAAAATAAACAAATACGACATATGCATGCATTATCATTTGTAAAAAAAAACGAAGGAGATAATAGTGTGACAGGAAGGGATTTCTCAAATTAATTTGTACTTAAATAGGTAAAAATAGCATTGCATACTAAAGTTAAGCCGACCTAGGTAGTGTGAATTACTGTCACTACAAAAATAAACCGTTAACGCTCAACTTGAATCATCGAAAGACCCTTAAATCTTCCTGTGAAACGATGTGGTACATAACACGAAAGACTTTCATTCTACTACCTTTTTAAACTACAATAATTACTACTCTAGCTTTATCGGAAAATGAAAAATACGAATCAAAATTTCTATATTCGACATAAAAATTTTTAGATGGTTGATTTAGAAACTTTAAAGACCTATGTAATATCCCAAGCGAACGAAAGAATCGTGAAAACGTATAGCACAAACAATAATTACTGTCTACGGAAAAATCTTAACATAGACTAATTCAACATCACATAGAAAGCCTAAAGAAATAAGGCTTATATATATATATATATATATATATATATATATATATATATATATATATATATATATATATATATATATATATATATATATATATATATATATGCAAAAAGTGAGCAGTAAGGGCTTTATTGTTTTAAGTGGGGGCATACATTTTGAATTTTCTGGGGGGAAAACAGACAAAAAATAGCCCAGAGCATCAAAAACTCAAACAGTATAATCAGTTACGTAGTTTGTAAACAAAACATGCGTATACAATGGGCGACTCAACACGCCAATCACAAAATTGCTTTACAGACATTCTTTTGCTCAAAATGAGCATTCAGCTGAAAGTGTGATGAGAATGTTTAGTTTTGATGTATTATTTTAGTATTCTCATTTCGCTGTCATCATTTTCACGAATTCTGTTGATGTAGTTCACAGAAGTAGATAAATTTTGGGATGATAGCAGATAGGACAAAGGCATCACATGCGAATACCGTCAGATAAGTCGGATGAGGTGAACATGAAAACGCACCGCAGATGTATAGAGTAAAAAAGACAACAATGAAATTGCAAAATTTTAACAACAAATATATATAGATATGTATATAAATATATATATATGATGCACAACATAAATAAACAACTATGAAATACGTGAAACATAAACAAACTACTAACAATACCAAATAACTACATTAAGACGTAAAAACGACTAAATCTACAAGAATCCGACCACTAACTTAAAAAAAGACAAGTTATAGTGAATTTACCTTCATAATTTACTTGACCATCACCATCTATATCAGCTTCGCGTATCATTTCATCGACCTCATCATCAGTTAACTTTTCGCCCAAGTTGGTCATTACATGTCTGTGGAAAATACATAAGGGCACACAATAGGGTTAGCATTTTCAGTAGATATTCTACATATAAAAGTTTTCGGAAAACTATTTGAAACAGTAAAAAATTTTTGCTTAAGTATAGAGACTTGATATTCTCTTCGGGATGCAGAGTTTTATTCCGTAATACACATAGATGCGGTTTACGCCACGGACTGAGAATAGTTGGGGTGTAGTGGAAACTAACCCCAAAACTCTTTAGGTCACCTGTTTTTAAACCTTTCAAATATTTTGTTAATCACCTAATGTACTCAAGAGTTCCCGCTAAAAACTTAACAGATAATTACTGTCAAATTCGAGTAAAATCATTACGGCGAGGTTGGTATGTTTGTCTGCTCGCGTGTTCATTAGAGAAGTAAAAGATAGTCGAATTGAAATCGATGCCTCAAGTGTATTACGAAGTGAGAAAAGATATCACAGAAAGAAAACTGATCAAATCAGTATAGGGATAAAGATGCATAGTAGCTAATCACTATTGAGAAGTGTTCCCTCATGTAGATTTCAAGTATTAACAAGTTAAACATATTAAACTGGAATTTGTACCATTATATATTAAAGCTGAGAATTCTTTAATCAACAATACGGTACCAAATAAAACTCCAAAGAACATAGGATAACAGTATAGAACTATCATAATCAAACAAGGAAAGTAAATTTTGTGTAAATGTTCTCCTGAGTGGATTATTTCAATACAAACTTGTTACGTTATGGACGCCAAACGACGTGTAAGACGAAATAGCATGATATCACGGAAAAATAAACAGGCAAATATAAATGATATTTAGGAAGCCAGATGAAGTACCTATCAAGAGAGCTGATTAACTTAGTAACTTGTTGTAACAACTGAAGGATCACATATAGCCTTGATCATGAGATGCCTTTGATGATAGTAGAGTTAACTATGGAACTTTACGCAAGGGATTTGGACCTACAGGCATCAAGCCAGCAAAACTATCACTTAGTTTACAATGAGTTATTAGACTGGTCACTTATTTTGCCCGACTTATCTGAACAGCGGTGAACAGCGATTGATGGTGTAGCCTACGAGATATGATATATAATATATCAAGGATACCCATTTCAAAGTGATTTTGCTGTACATAAAATAGCCAATAAATCCTAACTGACACGATTAAGCTGTCGAATGTAACGCTAAAAAGTGGTTTTCGCGTCAAGGAAATTCTTAGTTGTTCTGATTCAATGTCAGTGTAGTACAAAATTGGGTACACTGAGTAGTCGTACACCGTGCTTTACAATCATTGTAATATCACAGTGCCGAAGATTACCCACGACACTTAGATTGCTTTAGGACTGGGAAGTGTCACTGAGTGAAAAACATTAGGACGAAATGAATATAAAAGTCGTGGCGTCAGAGATAGACATACAGAAGACAATTGGAGGGAATTAATCGGTGGAATAAAGGGTACAGAGAAACTTTGAAACTCATGATCTAACCAAAAACAAAGCTAATGTATATGTACCATTGAAACTAATTTTAAATCATGAACTCAATATCTTTAACCATTGATCACAACAAACCCACAGTCAGTCAGTCAGTAACAACGTAGAACTTCGTACGTACGTACATCACTTCAAGTTGCCATACCACATTAGTACAGAGATGCAGTTGTCGATTCAAATCCCGTAGTGATAGAGGCGGTAAGAGTATAAGCAGTAATCAGGAAGATTACGGTTTGGAGATGTTATTCAAAGAGTATAATCCAATGAAATAAATTTGGAAAGAGAAAAGAGCGGGACATGAAGAATTCAGAAGATTAGAATTTGGGAGAACATAAAGAATGGATGCACCTGCGCCATTGCAAACGATTTTGAGCCATGTCATTCAGAGTCTCTAACCATCGGCTGCTATCATCTCGTGGTCCCCAACCAGGTAGTCTACACCTACCAACATGGCTCAGTCCACTTGTCAGTGACTTCATGGATTTGTGCCATGTTTTGGTCTGGCAACCCCTAGCTTTATTCCAACCTACTCCTATACCATTGAAGATCGCTAGTCGAGGCAGTCGGTCGTTGGGCATACGTAACACGTGTCCCAGCCATCTCAACTGATGAAGTTTCACTACTTCATCAATTGATTTGCCATCCTTACCTAGTACCCGTTTCCTAACAACTTTGTTACTTACTCGATGGTCCCATGATATACGAGCAATGTTTCGAAGACGCCTATGATCAAATACTAGTAACCTACGAATATCCTCTACTCTTACCGGCCATGTTTCACTTCCATAAATTAGGACGGAACGAACTGCTGCGCAGTAAACACGTCCTTTGGTTGATAGACGGATACTTCGCCTACGCTATAAATGACGCAAGTTGGTAAAAGCTAGTCGAGCCTTCTGTCTCCGTGCTGAGATTTCGTCACACACCAGACCACAAGGGCTGATGAGACTTCCAAGATAAGTGAAGCAGTCGACACACTCAACTACTTCACTCCCTATCACTAGTTCGGGTGTCGATGTAACCCAATCCTGAAGCAACATTTTGCATTTCGAGGGAGAGAATCGCATCCCGAACATGCTTGCATTGTTGCTTAGAGTGGTCAGAAGACTGCATTTTGTCAGCGTCTTCACCAAATAAAACTATGTCATCTGCATATTCTAAGTCAACAAGTGAACCTCCCGGTAGAAGTTCAACCCCTGTAAATTTAGATGAGGAGAGTGTTATCTCTAAAAGTACGTCGACCACAAAGTTGAACAAGAATGGGGAGAGTGGACAGCCCTGACGAACACCACTTGATGTAATCAATTCTGATGACAGTTCGCCATAAGCTCTCACTCTACCAGTTGTGTTCGAGTAGAGAGCCTTTATAAGGTTAATGTACTTCTTTGGTACTCCTTTCAGTGACAAACACTGCCATAGAACCTCACGATCAACAGAGTCGAATGCCGCCTTAAGATCGAAAAATACTACCATTGTGAGGCGTCTGAATGTGTGTCTGTGTTCTAGAACCTGACGTAGTGTGAATATCTGATCTATACAACCACGTCCAGGTCGAAAACCGGCCTGGTTTTCTCTAATCTGCTCTTCACAAGCTTTGGTTAGGCGTCGAAGTATTATTGAGGCTAATATTTTAGACATTATATTAGTCAAACTGATTCGTCTGTGATTGTCACAAGAGGACTTTTGTCCTTTCTTATAGACTGGCACAATCAGTGATTGAGACCAGTCAGATGGGATTACGTCCAGTTCCCAAATCCTACCTAATACCTCGGTTAATCTCATTGCTAATACTGGACCACCATCCTTAAAAATCTCAGGAGTAAACCTGTCAGGGCCTGCTGCTCTCCCTCACTTCAGATTTCCTATGGCTTTTTCAACTTCGTAAAGAGACGGAAGACTTACATTAACTTGCCATTCAGGTTGACTAGAGATCGTGGGGAACCGAAGTGTGGCTGAAGGCCAGTTGAACTGATCCCTAAAGTGTTCTGCCCATCGATCCAATCTCCTGGATTGAGAATGAATAATATGTCCATCTTTCTCTGAGATTGTTTCGCTAACGGTCGGGTTCCTAATTCCGGTCTCCTTAACGAGTCTGAACAATTGTCTGCTATTACCTATTGCCGCTGCCTTTTCCATCTCTCTTGCTTTCGCTACCCACCACTGTTCACGATCATTGCGTAGACTTCTTGTCAGCTTGCGCTTAAGCTGACTCTGCTCTTCACTATGTTCAGAGCTAGGCGGAATGAGTTTCCGAGCATCTATCAGTGCGATAGATGCTGCTGAGATCCAGTGTTGCTCCCTAACCTTCTGGTTTACCTTACTAGCAGATATCACTGCTGTTTCCACAGCTTTTCGGATATCATTCCATGCTGCATCAGGGTGAGCATCTCATGCATGGCTGCCTAACTGTTTTTCTAGTTGTTCCTGAAATATACTCTTAGCTTGGCTACCATTAAGTAGGCCCCTAAGAGGTTTCCTTGCAGCGTCTTTCCTACGTCCAGTAAGACGCAAGTAAATACGCGCTCGCACTAGAGCATGATCTGAATCTAAGCATGTGCTCCAGAATGAGCGACAGTCTTCTATCGAGCCCATCCATCGGTGGCTGATAGCGATGTGATCTATTTGGGTCCAACGTTGGGACGAATTAGGGGGTCGCCATGTTAAAAGATGTTTTTCCTTATGCTTAAAGTTACTATTTGCAAGGAACAGGCGGTTATCTGAGCGTAGCTGCAACAGACGGTCGCCATTATCTGTTCTTTGAGCCACGACACCATAGGATCCACCTAGGTGTCTTTCCTTATCGCTTAGTTTACCTACTTGAGCATTAAAGTCACCGGCCACTATTACTACATCCGAGCGCTTAGCTTTTCGGAGAAGGTCCGAAAGCTTTCTGTAAAACTCATCTTTCACATCATCTGAGCTGCAGTCAGTGGGAGAATAGGCAGAGACGACGAAGAGGCAACGACGAGTGTCCCTATCTTTCCGGATTCTTACTGTTCCGTTCAGTCGGACAGCGCACAAGCGGCTGTCTACTGGGATCCACTCTAAGAGAGCTAGTTCTGCTCTGGGACTCAATGCTATACCTACGCCGACGAGGCCACGGGAAGCAGAATCAGGGCTTCCAGATACACGAAGCGTAAATCGAGTCGGTTCTTTATTTTGGCATGGTGAGGTCAAATGAATGACGCTACTCGGATCTTGTATGCGCGTTTCGGAGACGCAGCACACGTCGATGGCGCGAGATTCTAAAGTCCTAGCTAAGGAAGCTTGCTGTCCTATTTGGCACAGTGTTCGGACGTTAAAAGCTCCTACGTGTAGTTTAGAGCGTGGTTTTAGGAGAACAGGAATAGCGTTCCACGTACTCGAATCGTTTGCCCTAGCGGTGCGAGGTGATAAAGAGACGTGAGGGTTAGTCATGGAGATAAGAGAGGTATTAGGAGGTGTAGGAAGGATTTGAATGTGACCAACTTGGTCTCTTGTGCTGTTACGGGTATGAGGGCTGATGTCACTTCCCGGCTGCTCACACCGTGGAAGGGTATTTCTTGAGGAACCTGAAAAGGAAATTGAATTAGTGTTGGTCTTGACGACCTGGGAGCGTGACCGCAGAGCCCAAGGGACAACTGCTTGAGGCCGGTCGCGCACAGCCTTTTTCGTGGAAGGTTTATAATGTGTTAGCTCCGTCCTTCAAAGGGCCTTACCGCCGGAGACGGGAATCCGCGAGGTAAGGTGAGGTGTGACACTTTTAGGGTCGACCTTTTCTAACCCCACCCCTCCTTGTGGGAAGGCAGCATCGCTGTCATGCTGGTTGTCCAAGGGAAACACCTTACTGCTGTCACACCTCTGTACAGTCAGCAGTACGACTTCGCCCTCAGACCTTGAGTTGCTGCTTTTAGTCTTACCGTTCACCAATCGACCTCCCTGGCATGGTAGAACCTACAGGAACATATGTTCCAGCCAATATAGCTCGGTTGGGTCATCACGATAGGCAAGCCCGACCACCGCGTCAAGGTAGCAGCTTCGGTCGGGAACAAACCCAGACTCCAAACAGTTATTAGCCTTACTGGGCACAAAATAATTGCTTGCAAAAAAACCCAGAGAGGACTAACTAGACATTAAAGGGAGCATGAAGCCCGTGACCAAACAACATACGAGGATTGTCTAGTTTGTGAAGTAGCAAAGGATAAGACTATCACATAAAATTTACAACGCCATTCTATCGGTTTGGAACCGTAGGTATGTTCCAGCAACAAAATATATGTACAGAGCAAACAATAAACCAGGATTAATCTCATTACAAAGAAATTTTGGACAGAATTTCAGAAACTACCAAAACTTGTCGTCATATGACTACTTTTGAACAATTGTCATCTATATCACTGAGTAAAAGTTCAGTCGATTGTGTTATTTGCGTGGTCATTGGTTGATGGACATAACGTCACACTGTTCATGTTAGGTGGCCATTTAGTCACTTAAAATCCAATACTCATTGATTTAATCCAGAAATATGTTCACCTGATTATCTACAGACGCCTGTTGGAAAAAATTCCATTTAGACTGACTACAAGTCTCTGTTCAAACTGGGTCATATGTGAAACCCTTGCAATTCTTAACAAGTATCACATACTGACTTGCCTACAGTAAAACCTCATTCGCCGCGTCGTTTTACATGACCCAGTCAACATTGTGTGGTAACGCGGATGATGGCCGGTAACGGGGTTAAAATGTATTCATACTTCTGGTTCGTGCAAATCTTGAGAATAAAGTTTTATCTTACAACCTATGTTCTAATTCAGTCACTCAGTCAGTTACAACGTAGGATCAGGCACATTTATGCATCGGTCCAAGTTGCCATACCTCATTAACACAAGATGAACACCGGATTCATAAAAGTAGTTAATTCAATAGTGGTAATATATAAAAGAAAGATTGCAATCAGGATATAGTACAGGAAGAAAGAATTAGTTCGTAGAAAGATATGAAGCGATTTTAATCTCTTAGTTTAAGGGAAGACAGAGAGTGTATACACCGACGCCATTGTAATCGATTCTGAGCCATGTCACCAAGAGTCTCTAACCATTGGTTACGACAGTCACGCGGACCCCAACTAAGTAGTCTGCATCTCCCAACATGGATCAGACTAGAAGTTAGTTTGTTTTGGCCACCCCTAACTTTCTTCCAACCATCTCCAACACCGGTTAGTATTGCACGTTGGACCGACGCCATGTTCTAATTATATATATATATATATATATATATATATGTTGGCTTTTTACAAGGGGTTAGACAATGTTGACCTTTGCAAAAATGCCGCGTGATCAGCACCAAGTATTTCGGAGGCCCTGTGGCTATGCTTAGATAACGAAAACTATACAATCTGTTTTCCTTTCCAAGCACTTTCATGCCATGGGTAACCGGTAAGTAATATCGACATCCTTAAAAGGACTGTATGAACTGAAATTGTCACCGTGTAGATGCTGTGCTGCAGCTTAGGATTTCGGTTTTATTCTATTCAGCTATTTCTAACTGAAAAATGTCACGAGACCTTTTGTGAAATGGCTTTGAAGACTAGTTGCTGTGTAAAACTCTGAGTAATGTTGGGCCATTCTGCCTTGAATACAGTCAACGAAAGGAACAAGAAGTTGAGACTATCCGCTTGTGGATAATTTCATCTGGTACACCACACCACTACGATGCTGTCGATGTTCAAAAAATAGCAGCTAAACAACAGGTCTACAGGTAATCACATAGAAACAAGAGCCTAATAGTTTATTAGAAGATATAATACTGAGAAATTGATAAATAGATTTGTACTGACAGTGGCAGGTGGAAAAAAACCAAAGTAACTCAGCTTGATGGATTACAACTACATTTCAAATAATTACTCAAAGTATTTCATCATAGCCAACCTTGTCATACGATTTGTAACAAAGACCCTTATTTTCTCCCTGGAAGGTAGAAATGATAAACTTTTATTTTGTACCGCAAACGACTGTAATCGCCTCCAGCGACACCATCGCGATAATGACTAGAACAAGATATGTCGAGAACAACAGACTATTGATTTTACGCTTGCTAATGTAATTGGGAACTATAATTCACAACCAAACAGTTTGGTTTTAGGGGGATATAGTGACTTACCGATACGTTGTTAGAACCTTACCTAGACACTCTTGCCATTGTAAAAACATAAAAACATGTCAGCTAGTGTCAACTTATTATATGACGCATGTAGCTACAAAGTCAATATGTTTGCATGGTTAGCAATAAAAACAGAAGGAATACTACTTTAAATAGCTTGGAAGAAAGATTAACTGAATAACCACACAAACTTGACTGTAACACCGATCCCGCTTCCCAATGGCTTCCACTACTCGACACGAAGTAGCAGAACACAACATGGAACACTATCATATTATAATGTTCGACTAAGTCAAGCGTCCAAACTGGAATAGACAAATAAGGACTTCACTGGCATAATTAGACAGACTTTAGCACAACTTTACCCCGTATGAATTTATGATTCTTGGTTCAAGTTGACAGTGATGACTATAAACGAAAATAAAAGCTGTGAAACCCTACTGACTTAAATAAACCAACGACAATATTCGGAAAACATGATAAACTCATTAATTTTTTTGCATTCTCTTTAGCTGCAAACAAGTTAATATGAGTGAGTTGACCTCAAATCCAATTTCTCACTTAACTTCCGAAAGTATGGTCAGAGCAATACAATCGCCCAAACATTCTAGGTTCACTACCCTAAGCAGTTAAAAGAATGACCCCACCTCTAGAATGTTAGCTTCTTCAACACTACACATAACTTGAGCGTAATAGGTTAAATTTGAGGTTGTTTTTAGTTGAAATAATTAGACACAGCTTGTGTGTAGATGAGAAAGTGATGAGATACAACGAACTCATTATGTTCTGGAGGCTTATTTTGTTTTAATGGTGACAATTATGAACTGGTCAGATTACAGATCTCAGATTTTGACGAGGGACTCATTCATTTACTATGCTGAATACCATTTTAGTATTACAGGTGATGTCACTTCGTGATGGAAATATAAAATCGAATTCCTAACCCTAATGTTTAACTTCAAATCCCAGTCCTAATCCCTCACACTAGTATAAGTCCCATACTTAACCGTAGCAAGGTGGATATCTTAAGGTCATTCTAGCATTACTCAAAGACTGTCTATAAACTGCAGTCTCACCTAGGAACCCATAATTGACAAATCAGTACCACGAAGAGCATGCTTAGTATACGGGAGGAAGCTTATATAACGGTTGTTCTGTGCTAGACAATCAAGAATTTTCAAGGAGGTAGGGTAGATTAAAACGAGTTTAATTTAGCAGTGTACAAAGATATCAGAAAAATGTAGATTTTTTTGTCTAACGAAATTCGTCTTTAGATTTTCAGATTTTAAAAAATACCATGCTCCCACTAATGAAGTTTTAAGAGTTGCAAACTAACCGGAGTTCAGCAGCAGATATGAATCCATTTCCATCTTTGTCAAAAACGCGGAATGCCTCTCGAATCTCTTCTTCACTGTCTGTATCCTTCATCTTTCTGGCCATCATTGTTAAGAACTCAGGGAAGTCAATTGTACCATTACCTTAATTTGCTTGTGACTCAACTAATGTGGTCTTACCATCAGCATCTACTTCATTGATCATATCTTGCAGTTCAGCTTCTGTAGGGTTCTGCCCCAAAGAGCGCATGACTGTACCTAATTCTTTAGTGGTGATTGTACCATCACCATCTTTATCAAACAAGGAAAATGCTTCTTTAAACTCAGCAATCTGTTCCTCTGTTAACTGGTCGGCCTGGTGTAGACGTTATGCAAAGGAAACACAGGAACCTACCATTCTCCAGGATATGAGTTCACAACCTTGAACCAAAAAAGCACGATAACCCGTAACAAGACCGTCTGCGATTGATTAATAATTTAAACACAAGGCAAGACTCAAAGGCTATTGAACTCAAAGAAGTCTATAGTATATCGGTAAACCAACATCTATTTTTTTAGAAGGAAAAAGTCAATGTTTATTATTCAGTCTTACTGTGCCGCGCAATATGAAATATGGAGTCATCTATCGTTTATGTGATTTTCGAACTCGTTTATGAATTATTTTTGTGTTTGAACGCGAAAGTTAATGAATTAGTTTGTTTTGATTCTGATCACGCTAGATTTATTCCGGCTGCGGCTTCAATGTTTGTTCACCACTGACCATAAAGGTTGGCTGGCCATTGTTTTGTAGATCACCAATGAAAGGTCGTCGATGCGAGTCTCGACGAACGAAAACGTGTGTACTATATCGTAAGTCAGGTTGAACGAAAACATCAGTCGATTGAGGTCGGGTGGAAGCAGGTTTAACTGAACGCATTGCGTTTGTAAGCCTGTTCGTGTAGGAGGTTAGATCCATGTTCATTGAAGAGGATGAAGGATCCACGAATTCTCCTGGAAGTCGAAGTGTCGTACCATAAACGAGTTGAGACGCAGTGTATCCAATGTCAGCTTTCACTGCATTGCGGATACCTAGTAAGACGAGTGGAAGAGCGTCGGTCCACTGTGAAACGTTTGTAGCTGATAGCGAAGCTTTCAGTTGTCGGTGAAAACGTTCTACCAACCCGTTTGCTTGTGGATGGTAGGCGGTCGTTCGGAAGCGAGTGCTTCCTAAAAGAGTGGTCAGACGACGGAAAAGATCAGATTCAAATTGACGTCCGCGGTCTGTAGTGATGGTTGAAGGGCAACCGAAGTTTGCTACCCATCGTTCGACGAAGGTGCGGGCCACTGTTTCAGCAGTGATGTCCTTGATAGGTACTGCTTCTGGCCATCGAGTGAAACGGTCTACGCAGGTTAAGAGATAAGAGTATCCATTTGAATCTGGTAAAGGTCCTACCAAATCCAGATGAACATGGTCGAAACGAGCATCGGGAGTTTTAAACGAGCCTAAGGGACATTTGTTGTGTCTGATAACCTTAGATTTTTGGCAGCTTACACAGGAGCGTGCCCACTCCCTCACGTCTTTATTCATTCCAGGCCAGCAAAACCTTTCTGCTATAAGCTTGATGGTTGCACGAACACCTGGATGCGAAAGTTTGTGCAATGTGTTGAAGACATTGCGTCGATAATGTTTCGGCACGATTGGGCGATCCCTACCTGTAGATGTGTCACAAAGTAAGGTTTCCTTACCTGTTCCCATCTGTTTGATGCGTAGTTTAAGTGTTGTGGACGATAACTCGTGCTGAAGATCACTGTCTTCTTTTTGAAGCTCGGCGAGTTTAAGAAGGTCGATTCCTTGGAAACTGTTCAAGGAAGTTATACGAGATAAAGCGTCTGCAACTACATTGTTTGCTCCAGAGACGTGTTGAATATCTGAAGTAAACTGCGAAATGTAGTCCAGTTGTCGAGACTCACGGGGAGAGTACTTGTCAGAAGGAGAGCTTAACGAGAAAGTAAGCGGTTTATGATCCGTAAAAAGAGTGAATTCACGACCTTCGATGTAGTGTTGGAAATGCCGTACAGCACAATACATAGCTAGGAGTTCCCTACCGAATGTGCTGTACCTCGATTCGGTGTCTAGCAACCGTCTAGAGAAAAATGCCAAGGGTTGCCAGGAGTTGTTAACCCATTGTTGTAAGACTCCTCCGATTGCCGAGTCGGATGCGTCTACTGCGATGCTAATGGGTGCTCGGGTGTCCTGATGTGCGAGCATTGTTGCTTTAGCAATCAGTTCCTTAACTGTGGAGAATGCTTTTCGTGCGGTGTCGTCCAAATTAATGGATTTCGCATTTCCACGAAGTTGGTCGGTTAGAGGTTTCATGAGTAATGCGCATTTCGGTATGAAACGTCTATAGAAACTTACCAGGCCGTTAAACGTGCGTAATTGCTTGACGGTGGTCGGTTCTGGGTAATCCAGAATGGCCGCCACTTTGGTCCTAAGAGGTCGAATGCCTTGAGCATCGATAGTGTGTCCTAGGAAGTCTAACGAGTTGGTTCCGAATTGGCATTTCTGAACGTTTACAGTTATGCCATGTTTTTGAAGTCGTTCGAAAACAAGATCCAGATGCTTGAGATGTGTTTCTCTGTCCGGACTTGCGATTAGACAGTCGTCAACATACGCGTGTACGAAGTTGAGACCTCGAAAAACGTCGTCTATGAATCTTTGGAATGTTTGAGCAGCATTCCTTAGACCGAAAGGCATTCTCAAAAATTCATAGAGTCCGAAAGGAGTTATGATAGCTGTTTTTGGTATGTCGTCAGTAGCCATAGGGATTTGGTTATACGCTTTAACCAAGTCGATTTTCGAAAAGACAGTTGTACCTTTCAAAGTGGCTGTCAAATCGTGAATGTGAGGCAACGGGTAACGATCGGGAATGGTTTTCGCGTTCAATCGCCGATAGTCACCAGTTGGACGCCAATCGTTGCTGTCCTTTTTAGGGACCATGTGCAACGGAGATGCATATGGGCTACTTGACGGTCGTATGATTCCTAAGTCCATCATGTGATCGAATTCGTTTTTCGCTAACCTTAGCTTTTCAGGAGCTAGTCGGCGTGCTTTAGAAAATACAGGTGGTCCTGTAGTCGTGATGTGATGTGTAACATTGCTGGTTACACACGGTAGTTTCGTTTGAGTTTGTTGTATCTCAGGGTACTTATCGAGTAGTGGTTGATAGAGTGGGTCTATCATATGTTTAACTGTGACTGGGGATACTCTACAACCAGTAAAAGAAGTTACGCAAACGGACAAATTAGTGTTTCCGTCTACTAGCCTCCGTTTGCGGGTGTCGATGATCAGGTTGTGGTGTTGTAGAAGATCCATACCAATGATTGGCATAGAAACATCTGCAACAACGAAAATCCAGTGGATGGGTTTGCGTAAACCCACGTTAAGGTAAACGTACCTTTTGCCATACGTAGCGATCGGTTTTCCGTTTGCCGCCTGTAAGTTTAGGGTCGATTCGTGTAGTCGGTCGTTAGGAATCGCTGGGAGAACGCTAACTTCTGCGCCAGTGTCGACGAGGTAGCGAACTCTCGTTGTCACATCTGTGACGAATAACAGACGGCTTTGTTCGCCGGCTACGGTTGCCGTTAACGCGTGCCGGCTTGGAAGTTTCCCGAATTGCTTTTCGAATCAGTCGGTTTCGTGTTGGGAAAATTGCAGGGTTTTCTGCAATTTCTGGAAAGCTTTCCATACTGGTTATGATACCAGCACCAGTCGGGGTTATCTGTCTCTCGTGGTCTAGAGACAGATCGCTTACGAGAAATGCTTCTACGTGGTGTGCGCGATCTCTTACGGTCGTTACGAAGACTAAGATAACGCGTGAGTGTGTGACATAAGTCGTTTATATCATTCTGAGTCGTTTGAGGTTTTTCTTTGACTGAAAATACCTCGGTAGTAGATTTCGTAATTTCTAGTATGCGGTCGGCAGATGCAGCTAGCTCGTCTAAGGCGTTGTTCTGGAACGAGACCAGAACTGTTTGCACCTGTTGGGGAAGTTTTGACAAGAAGAGTTGTTTGAATAGGCCTTCGTCGAAAGTTCTTGGGCCTATAACCTCTCTCATCCGTTGCAACATGTCTGTCGCAGAACCGTGTTGCAGGTCGATATTGTTGAAGAGTTGATCTAACCTTTGTCGATCGTTTAGGTCTCCTCGTTTAAGAATCGAGCGTTTTAAGATTTCGTAAGGATCGGAAACATCACTAGTAAACATACTAGGTGTTACGTACCTGTTGAATTCGCGCGGTAGTGCCTTGACTACTGCGAGGAATTGTGCACGTGTGTCGATCACGCCGTGCTGGGAGAAGTCGGCTTCTGCGTAGCAAAACCAGGCTTCGATGTTGTCGGGCCAGAAAGGCATGAGTTGAAACGAAGGCGGGGACAAAGTCTTAAGCTTGAGTACTTTAGGTGTCTGTTCAGTCATGATGAAGTATGAAGTACGATAATGAACAAGGGGAAAATATATATATCCAGGAAAAAAAACGAAAAAAAAATCACAATGTTTAAAAAAAGTTAAAAAAAATAAGGCAATGATATATAAAAATTCCAAAAAGGAACAGACTCACAGTTGCAATTAGGTGTACCAGATCACGTCGGTTTCACCAATGATGATGTCACAGGTATTCAGTGTTTGACAACGCTTCTACCAGTAACACCTTCTAATATATTTCGTTCCCGCCCAGAGAAATCAAAAGACAGAGTCGAGGAGATCGGAAGAGTATATTTGGCGATGACCAATATATCGGAATTCTCTGATCTAATCTGGCTAGCGATTGCGGTTGATGTTGAGCACGGCGTTACCACACGTGATCTGGTGCGGATGACTGACCGAGCGCCTTCAGCTAGGTGAGTCCACTAAAACATATGGTCAGCATCCAATGTCGAAAACTTAGTGCTATTTATTTTGGGGATTTATTTACCGCTACAGTTTCTTTCCTTAATTTCAAATCAATATGTTTCTTGATTCTTTTATTCTTTACTACTAAAAACTTCTTATAACTAGGTTCAGTATCATCTACGAATGACGTCGGCTATTTCACTGTTTCAGAGACTATATCATGTCCGTGAGAGCTATGTTGACAAGTAAATTCAATAATTTTCATAAACATAAATGAAAGACAATATCTTTTTCCCCCTCTAAACCTAATATGTGCAATCAAGTTCATATTAAATAACACGGAGCTGCTTGAGAAGTTAAGCTTACTTCCTCTTTCCTACCTCAAGACAAGCAGTGGTCGGTTTTTTATGTGTAACATTAAATAAATCCCCAAAAATTAAGTTCTTTATATCTTCGACATCGATGCTGACCACATTAGCTTCAGTGGAAACATCTAGCTGAAGGAGCTCTGTCACGCATCTGCATCAGATCACGAGTGGGTGTGTCGTGATACTCATATCTTGAACTGCTAGTCA